CCCCCCCCCCCCGGGCCAGCAAACGAATATGTCGGGAGCCATTTCTCACTGAGAAAGGCTCCACTCTGGGTATAATACATTTTTGCTAAAGCAAAAGGAAAACTCAGGTAGCGTAACCGCTACCTTTGGTGATAACAACAAATCGTACAGAAGAAACCAGGCAGAAAAGAATGGGGCACAAAAGCAGATTCCTTTTCTGAGGCCAGCACTTGCAGAAAGAATCTGTACATCCTCTTCGTTGTCAACTTCGAGGTCATCTGACCTGTGTTCTTATGAGAGCCAAGTAAGGTTGGCCACGAGTTTCAAAAAGGAAGTCAAACAATTCGTGCAAAAGCAACAAATCCACTGCGCCATCCTTTCCAAACATTGACTATTATATAATACGAACCAAGGATCAATGACCTAAAGCTTACCCTGAAAAAGGAGGAACAACACCAAGCAGCAAAACAGAATTCAAGAAAGCACAAGGCCTCAAGGCAAGGCCGTATCATTCCAACCAAATTTGGTGAACATCCGAACCAATTGGCATCGCAAATGCCTTTCCCCCAATCTACCAACTCGCACCACCCTTCAGCCTCTGATTCTCTGGCGGGAGCCTGTCTGCGATCAGATTTGCTGATTCAAGAAACAACAAAACACATCAAGTTTGATTGCAGGATTCGAATCCCGTAAGGAGCGGACGAAGTCAAGACCACACTTGGTCGTTGGTTCCCCCTGGACGCAGTTTGACGCACTGTTCTGCTGGCATTCTGGAATTTGGGGGCCGTAGAGGTTGCAGTGCCCCACCCAGCATGGCTGGCTCACAGTGAAACCATACTTAAAAAATATTGAAAAATAGCTATGATAAACGTTGAACATTTGAAACTTGTAGTGCCCATGGTCCTCCCGGAGGCCTATATGTGCTTATGAGGCTGACGTTCTCTGGAGGCCAAAACTCGCCAATCCTCAGAAGAGTGGACACACACGCACACACACGTGACACGCAAGCACATGCCACGTTTCCAGCAGCAAGCTGTGCTTCCCGTAAGAACGCGACATCGGGCTAAAATATTCTGGGGCTTGGCATTCTTGGCCTCTGTACACCTCGGCGCAATACCGAAGTCATGGTACAGCATGACAAGGTCGTGTGCGTGGGCGTGTGTGTTTAAACCATTGTAAAACCAACATACACTTCTCCGTCACACGCGGTAAGATTTTAGCACGGAGTTTATCCAGAGTCTCACATAGTTGGCAAAGTTTTCAGAAGCTACCAGGATAGCACGCAGCGGGCCCGTGGGTACTTGGATGGCATGGGCCAACGAAGGCCCATCCAAGTTGGCGTGTAAACGTACATGCACTATCCTGCACTTTGAGTGAATAGCCGTGAATAGCCACCGGGCTAAGCCACGATCCCAGCTAGTTGACCATGTTGATCTCACATGTTCTCACAGCCGGTGTCACTTTCACCCTGTATAATGTAGGACTCAGGAGGTTCTAGACTTGAACACCTGATCCTGTACTCCCAGTGTATGCCTCCATGGGTTTCATGCTGAAAAACAAGTACATCATGGGCTTCTGCAAGTCTGTAAGTCTCTCTCCCTTTCTCCCTGTGTTCTTCGCCTCTGCTTTGAGCACAGGCCGCTGATCAAGCGCCAGGATCGTCATGGAGAGTGCCGGCATATCCTTGTTGGTGTGTCAGTCTAATAGTTGATGAGCTGCCCATTCAGTTTCTCTGATCATCTCTTATCTAGTCCAATCAACTGGCAATCAACAAAAGTAAAGCTAATAAACGGCAACTATACAGTACACACACACACATATATATATATATGCATAAATATACACGGCTCACGGGATACCACTCACAAGAGAAAGGCGTTCCTTGCAAATGTGTCGAGGGCAGAACTGGATCAGCGATGGGAACTGCCATTGTGCACTCGCTGCTTGGATCCACCATCATTCTCGGCTGCTACGCTGTGATGGACTAGATGTCCACTTTCAGCAACTGCATGTGTCAAATTCATACATCAACTATGAGAGACCATGCTTGTGGGAGCGGTCACTTTCATCTAAGCCCTCCACCCAGGGCAAAGCATCCCAGTGGCATCCAAGTTAGGGTCCACAACGATGCCTCGGGTGACTAAATCCGCAGTTGCTGTGGTACAGTTGCCACATATTTGCTCATTTAGGGTATCGCCTTCGCCAAAAATGGTCTGGCTGCTGGCCTGTCGATGCTCAAACTGGGAGAGAGCTTGTGAACACTGAAGCCAATCGCAAATGACCGCATTGCATTCATTACAATTCTGCGACCAGTCATGGCCATGGCCCACATTCATTACAATTCTGCGACCAGTCATGGCCATGGCCCAAGCCTCCCCGGTCAAATTTGCAAATGTGAGAGGCCTCAGAATGCAAGACTGGAATCAACACAAAAGCACCAAACATCCTGGCCAAATCATCGCATTCTGTGGTCTCAAAGCTTCTGAGGGAGAACACGCCAAAGCAACCGGCACCTACAACATAGCTCATTAAAATAAATGGGAGAACCGCACTTTGATTAGACCTTCGTAACAGCATTGTCACTAGGTGAGTTGCACTGGTTACACAACTCCAGACTCTCAGAAGCAAAGTGCCAAAGATGCTCAGGAAAACTAAGGAAGATTGAAGACATTCCACACAGGACTGAAGCAAAAACGAGTCACGCTAGTGGTGTCAGCCCACAGCCTCTTGATCTCCTGTTGGAGGCTGGCTGCTTGGACCTGCCAGTGACAAAGGCTTCAAAGGATGTGAACAAAACTCTAGGGACTCTCCCTGAGTGATGTAGAACAAGCAACTCAGCCGCACAGGATTTCCAGGTGCCGAGCTGGAAGCCTGGTTCTCCTCTACTTCTTCAGCCACCGGCCTTGGCATCACAATGCTGTAACACTGTAACACAACAAATGTCACCCCCCTCTCAAAACGCAGGCGCAACATAACCATCACCCCCACGGCTCTCAAGCATCTTTGGTTTAGTTCAACCAACCTGATCTCTGTAAGATTCTTGCGATGGACCGCCTCCCCAAACTGGAGGGAAGGCAGACAGCATGGGGGGCAAATTTGGAATGTTCTCCTGCCCAAGCAGGACAAAAGACAACAGAATTGACAAGGTGAGTCTGCTTTTCTTTTCGCATTTGGATACACACTCGCAACCCTGCACGGTGTAGGCTTTAGGCACACCACGGTCCAAGTCACACATATCAAAACTGATTTGAGCACATCCATCTGAGGGATCGGCTCTGTTCTTAGCTAAGCAAACGTTTAAGGACCCTCCAGGCTCCAAACGAGTCGCCCCTATCTGTACTCTCAAATCCCGCGAGGGACCAAATAACCAAATGTCATTGCATGTCATTGCCCAACAGCATTGATTCACAATGGAACTATTTCCGGTTTTCGTCCATGAAGGACTTCATAAAATCTGTGAGCTTTTCCACACCTTCCAAGGGCATACCATTGTACAAAGAAGCTCTACAGCCGCCCACGGAGCGATGACCAGCCAGCGTGAAGAGCTTGTGCTTCTTCGCCTCATCCAGGAACTTCTTCTCAAGAGCCTCATCGCCTCCATTGATTGTGAAGGGTACATTCATTCGAGACCTGCCAAACAGACTCCATGGAGTGATTTCAGTGTGCTTTTCACTGCAATGGCAACACAAAACCGCTCCAAGCAACCGTGACATAAAAAGAGTCTAGTCTTATACATATGCCGGCAAATGGCCAAGTGGAACTCGTCCAAGGATATACACATATATACACTGTACATCACTATACAGGATAACAAATAACATCATGTATATAATTGTATCAGCAATATTAGTTCAGAAAGCGGCTGATACACGACAATAATAAATGCTTCGACCAAGAACGAACATAATGAGACTACTGTCTGGCCTGGCGCTCTTCTCCACGGGGCAGTTGTAGAAACCACTGGAGCCATCGATGGCGCCGTAAAGCAAGCTGCTCTTCTTATCGGACATCTCTGCCCAGTAGGCGAGCCCACCAACCTTCTTGGTGTACTTTAAGTACTCACCCATGACGTACATGGTGAAGCATGCAGGCGTGTTGTACATGGACCCATTGTCCCCAGTGGTCTTGAAGCTGCAGTATGTTGGGCAAATCTTCAACTCCTTGCTTCCGTCAGCAAAGTCTGGGCGAAGAAAACCAACAGACATTCCGGCAGGACCCAAATTCTTCTGAATACCAGCATAGATAAATGCATGTTTGCTCACCTCAATTGGCTTGGAGCAAAAGTTTGATGACATGTCTGCCACCAAAGGCACTTCTCCCACGTCTGGTGTGTAGCTGAACTCAACTCCGTTGACTGTCTCATTGGCACAGTAGTGTACGTATGCCGCATCCAGATCCAGCTTCCACTCAGACTTTTGAGGAATCGTAGTGAACTTGGTTGGCTTTGTGTTGCATGCCAACTGCCCTGTGCCATACTTGTTGCACTCTTTGTGAGCTTTCTCACCCCATTGTCCTGTGACCAGGTAGTCAGCCTTAGTCTTCGTTCCAAGCATGTTCAATGGAATGCTTGAGAATTGCAGGGTGGCCCCTCCTTGCATCATGAGCACCGTGTAATCGCCGGGGACACCAAAAATATCCCTCAGGTTCTTCTCTGCTTCAGCTGCAATTGCCATGAACTCTTTGGAGCGGTGTGACATCTCCATAACACTCATGCCGCAGCCTTTGTAATTCACCATTTCTCGCTGTACCTCTTCAAGCACTTCCAGTGGCATGACACTCGGGCCTGCGGAGAAATTGTACACACGGCCTTCAGCCATTGCAAACAAGGGTAGAGCACAGGGAACTGCACTCGCTGGCAGTCTTGTTCTGACTTGAAATGCCAACATACCAAGAACGTTTAAACATGTACATGCAAATTATATAGATAGGTTGAGAAAGTGGAAACAAAACATTGAACACAGGATTGTCAATCAAGCGAAACACCAGAACTGCATATGGTTTGGCCCCTGGCAATCGACAGGAAAGAGTCAAACCAATGTCAACATGTTTCTTTGAACAATTTGCATTGCGTTGGTCTCCGCAGCCTGTGGCTTGGGCACAGGTTCAGCACGGGGCACCTGTATAATTGCAAAGCACAACCTACCATGATCTACTAAGACTGGCAAACTCAAGGCATGCGAGATCCAGTTCATGCATGTCCCCGACCTCTGGCAGGTAAGAGGAGGCCCAAGGCCGCTGAGCAAAGGCTGCCTACGAAAAGATTCACGTGTACCCCATTCTGGGGGTGCTAGAAGGCTGGAGGCCATCGCTAGTAGGTTGGGGGGCGCTAGCAAGTTGGGGGGCGCTAGTAGATACTACCAAGCTAGTAAGTAGCTGGAAATGTTTGCCTCTGTCGTCTTGGAAGCTGTGACTGGTTGTGCTTGCGGGGCCTGCCAGTCATGCACACAGCACATACGGCACAGTTTTGGCATTAAATGAATATTTAAAAATATTCATATAACAGTACGCAACCTGAGACCTGAGAAGGGAGCTGACGAAAGCCACCCTCTGTAAGAAGACATCAATGTGGTTATGATGTGGAGATGGGATTGCACTGCTCTACTGCTGCAAGGCACGGGGAAATAGAAGGCAAAAAGGTGCAAAGTCTCGCTGAGGGTTGGTATGATAGGCTATTTATATACAAGGCTTTTGCTCAAGGCCCCTTCACTGCCATGCGTCAAGACAAAGGCTGGGCCGAGCAGGACATTCACAGTTCGGGGGACGGGCCTTCTTTCCTTAGTTCAAGGCCGCTTTCACGGCGAAAAAAGGCACCCCTAATAGTGCTCATAAGAGTGGACCGATTGTATAACACCGAGCAATGATACCAAAGTACCAACTGTTCTGGCGTTATGCGCTTTTGCCTCTCAAGAAGCTTTGCGCGATGGAGTTGGCGTGTGAAACTGCCCGGGCCGCTCGGCAAGCAAGGCGCCAGGCATTATTGATGTCCACTCAACAATGAAACTTGACCCCAGTGTGCGTGCCCCCTAGATTTGTCAACGCGTCCGTGGCTACTTTTCTTGCACTTCCTGTCACGCAGTCTCCCCTTTCCTGTCCTCTACCCAAACCACCCACCCCTAGTCAATAGACAGTCTGAATAGTCTACTGAGCACTTTGTGATGCTGATGGTGCACTATATAATCGGCGTCATTTGCATAACTCGTACCACCAAGACACCCTAAAACATACATGTTCACTACCTTTTGGACGCTCGTTATTTTTCGCTCTCCCCCACCAGGCTCTGGGTTCCCTAGCCGGGACCAAGTTTGCAACACCCCCCCCACACCCCCCAAAATTCACTTCATTCTCCCATCGGCAACTCCAGCCTAGCCTATCGGCTGGCTTTCGTAATCAGAAACAGTAGATGAAAGCAGGTGAGGGTAAAGAACTCCCTGTACCCTGCCTCCCTTATTTAATGCTACACTAAGTGGAAGTCGCACTGAGCAGGGGTAAGTCCGGTGCGATTGGAGTGGTGAAGTCTAAAACAAAGGGAACAAAATGGAACAAGCCAACCTGGCACTTTGGTTTGAGAGAACCACAGTTGGAATGGAACATAATCTTGGATCTCTGGTTCCTTTAACTCACTGGCCTGTACCGCAGGTTGGAAGGATTGGGAAGATTGGGCCGCAGCTTGGGCATCTCTGGAATCCTGCGCGTGGGACGATTGCCCGGCATGATGTCAGGCAATACCTACTAGCGGCTTAAGTTTCCCGAAAAATCTAGGAACCAAACGAATAGTGCGAGCGTGAGCTATCCTGCGTCCATACTAGCTGCTACTTGAGCTACTAAATTACTAGCTACCTAGCTAATACAAACTACCTCTATAGCTACTACTTCCTAGCGGCCTACCCCCCAAAACACAAAAATCAAAAAAACATCTGCAAAATTACAAAGACTACGCGACTTGTACCTCTCATGGCCTGCTGATGCCGACAACAAATCATCCCTTTTTGGAAACCCAGCAAACAATGTGCAAAAAAGTCAATTTCTCTACTCGTCCCCAGCTCCTGCCAGGATTGATAAAATGAACTGCTGACCTTCCAGGATGGGAATTGGCTCTACTGAAGCTACTCTGTCTCTTTGACTCTAGCAGTCAAGAAGCACAAGAATAACATGTTGGCGTTTCATCTGAATTCCAGGTAAATAGAATCCTAACCACACATCATGTAAAAACACTATAACAAATTCAATGTGGGTTCAAAGTTCAAAGTGAATGCAATTGAATGCCACCAGTTTGCATAGACTTGGACAGCTAGCCCACCTGCTGAGAACCCACCTCCGCTGTGGTAGCTGAGGACAAAGCACTGCTTCCTGCTGTCAACGGCTCCAAGCACTTGCGACCAAACAATTCCCATATGTAGTAGTCTCTCAAGATCTCTCAAGCTCCTACATGGTACACTGCATCTTCGCCTGGTGGCTTGAGCCTCGTGTCAGGCTTTCTGCAGTAGGGTGTCTACTATGTATGTGTCATTGTCATTGCAATAATTGCAGAAAAAGCTATAACAACTCACAGTAGCGGTGGGCGCTTCACAGCAGATTGGGCCAATAAAAACTCTAATTCGTGTCCGGCGACAATCGTTGCTTTTTGAAAACCTGAACCTGGTGTTTCACAACTCATTCTTTTCTAGACTAGCACCATCTTTTGTGAGCACTTGCACACTTGCTACGACCGCTCGCGACACAAAAGGAGAAAGCCACCACGTTCACTGGCACAAAGACTAGTCCAAGGATTGAGCAGTTTCGGTGGACTTGGCCTGGCTCTAGCCACCTCCTGCGTATGTTCAACCAACAACTCAGAACCGTTTCATATGTCATATGTCTATCAAGTTACCATATTGGCTATGTGTATTTCCAAGGCTCCTCTGCATCCAAATCCTCCCCAAAGCAGGTGAGGACGGCCAAAGAACCTGAATCAAAAACCTGTGATGGGGCCGCCCAATATAGCCTTGTTGTCTGCGGGTCGCCCGGCTGTGCAAGAAATGTCTGTTATCTAACAACTGAGGTCATGACATACTAAAACCAAGACAAGCAGGGTGAAGAATACGACAGCTCCACCACCTCCAGTTCAGCAAAAACCCTCTTCGCGAGATTGAAGAAGAATTTGTTTGGCCCAGGCATCTGTTGGCTTGATGCATGAGATGGCATTGCTTCACAACTCTGATGGGAGATAGAGGTTGGCCTTCTGTGGGTTTCATCTGATCGAGCAAAGGCAGCTGTGGCAATTCACTGACGTCCACTGGAAAGGCCACTGCACCTGCGCGAAGCCGGCGGCTATTCAAGAACAGACAGCATGGATAGAGGATAGAGTTTCACACCAGGTGCGGTTTCTGTGCTATGCGCGCCCAAAGGCTTTGCAAGTGAAAAATGCACAATTTAGAGCAGATTCGGAGGAAGGGTTGTCCAGCATCTCGGTGGAGAAAGAGTTGATTGATACCACGGAAATGCAGTATGCCAAAGGCGATGACAGAACTGCTGATGAATGAAGCCATTCTAAACTCACCCGATTTCGCTCCTAAAGCTTTCCAGCCAAAGACCGGCGGTGAATCCAGAGTTGCCTGTCCAGACTCAAACACCACTAAGGTCCATAATGTGTTCAAGCATCCCAAGATGATGCTTCCTCTTGACCAGCAAATACGACAATCCACTGCCCTTTGCTTCCGCCTCCTTCACCTTCTGCTCTGAGCCTTCTTGGAATGCTTTTTCTCCAGCTTTATCCTTCACACAAGCCAAAGCAAGTGTGAATACTTGTGTACAAGCTGATCTTGCTTAAACATTAGTGCAAGTGTTTACAGTTTAGGAACTTGTCGAAACCTAAGGTGAGTACAGTCTCTCCATCACATATCTATATACAAGGACCTGAATAAGAATGGAACTATATATGAATCTAAAGCTACCACAACCAAAGTAAGAACACTTACACTCTGACTCTGGCTCACTAACATGGAAGTCTTCCAAGGGGCCATTTTCCACTTCCATCTCAGTGAGTCAAAGTGTAGTACGTACAAAACCCCGTCAATATTCCTTGCATCGACAATTCCCACCAATTCCTGAGCTGAAAGGGGCAGAACTTTGCCAGTTCCCGGGTGCTGCGTCTTTCGCTCGCTAGCTACCTGATCCAAAGTTCCAGCAGTTGAAAACAATACTCGCGCAATCACATACTGTATGTTCGATGAATTGTAGGGGATTGGGAAAACACATGTTGTTTGATCTTGGGGCCTTAGGGACTGCCAACAAGCTAGCGCAAACCCATGTGCCTTGAAACATAAAATGTGCACATGCCTGCATCAATTTGCGCGTGTCCACTGGCATCTCCTTATGCGAGATTGTGTGAACAGCACTGCAAACGCAAAGGGCAAGTTGGTCAAGTACGCTCGGCTGATGACATCATCAAGTGGGCACGTTTGTCTCTCTGCCTGGTGTAATGCAATCAAGTTCTTGAACAAGTCTGACTGTGCCAGGTACGGGCTCTACCTAAAAACCAGCCCCAATGGCCTGCAAAGAGGCGGCAGCAGTATGCGTGAGACAAGCCCTGGTGCCGCCGAGGGTCTTTCGGTATAAGAGAGACACAGATGGCTCTCACAAACACTCAAGCTGCTCAAGCAAGTGTTCTCGGTTGCAATGGGTGTCAGGTCTTCAAGTCTTGCCTTCCTATGTTGAAACGACACCAATGGATTTAGGGTTCGTGCCAAATAGCCAGGCCCACACACAGCTGCTGCGCCTGAAAGAATATGCATTTTTAGACACTGATTCAATGCTTCCATTTGTAAAGCAACTGGATATCTGTGGCACTGAAACTGAAACATTGTTTTTCAAGGTGAAGCGGCTATGCTGCCAAATGCAGCGCCAATGCTGACAAGATGCTGACATGGAACGTCGTCACGCTTGTGTCGACAGTCTGAGTGGTGGAGCGACAGCTCAATTCCATTATCAACAACATTCAGATTCCGGTCAAATTGACTTGCGTTGGCTGAACCTTTCGCACTGAAAAAGTAGATTCATTGAAAAAGGTTCTCGGGTCATGGCCAGTAAGGATAGTAAAATGTATCACCTGAGCAGTTTGGACACAAAAAGCATTGTCACCTTTTAAGTGATCGGTGCATGCGTGTGTGGTCTGTTGAAGAAACAGTGAGTTTTGCTTGCTTGCAGCATCTGCAGAATCACGGGCAGTGTACAATATACAGGTTTTCACGATAGGCGTTGAACGTATCACCAGAATGCAAGTAGAAAATTAAATAGCAGCAGCAATGCCTTTGTATATACAAATATATATATATATATACATAATATACATATGTATAGTTGTAGTGATCACGTCAGTGCTTAGTGCCTTAGGTGCGTGTGATTCAGCGCAACTGGTATGGCTCTGAGACTCGTCATTCGACCTACACGTCTGAATCTTTCTCCTCCTGTCCTGGCTTTCCCATCACTGTCTGCATTGTGGTGGTGGAATGAGGGGTGACTTGTTTGTTTGTTGGGTTGCATGTTTTGGTTTGCAAAGCCAATCCGGTGGGCTGATCTAAAGCGACGATGACATTCTCTGCCTCTTTTGTGGGGCTGCAAACCAGCCCCAGGGCACCTTCCCATAGTTAGCTGGACAATCAGAATCCAGCTGTTTCCTGTGCCGTGTCTCTGGTCGGGAATTCATGGGAATTCTTTAATGGGCACCTGGTATGCAACAACTCAATGCAAAGCCACTTTGATGGAGACCCCAGAGCTGACACTTACTTGTGCAACAACTGCTACGGTGCATCATATTGAACATGTATAGTGCACAATGTGTACACACACGTGGGTAATGTGCATGGATAGTTAGATAAATAGATAGATCGATAGAATGATAGATAGATATATATATATATTATACAGTATATGGATAGACAGTGAGGGCTAGATGTAGGGCGTGTGGAGAAAGGGGGTCAGCAAAAATTGCTTGCACGAACTTAGTGCATCAAAACTACCTTCCACGAAGTTCTGCGAATCTTTCTTTGATTTTGTTGCAGTCAGTTCTCCTACTGGCCCACCATTCCACGAAATGTCCTGGGTTCTACGAATGTCCCCGCGCCTTCCACGATGTTAGTAGAATAGGTTTCTGCAAAACCTTTTCTGTGCACTACCCTTCCGTTTGCCTCTGAGATAGAATGATAGAATGATTGATAGATAGCTATAGGTAGATAAATAAATATATACATAGATAACGATTTACAGTACTTGCTTGCTTGCTTGCTTGATTACTTACTCGCTTACATACTTACTTACTTACTTACGTACTTACTTACTGCATCACACTACTGTGCTATGGAGGCCTGATGCTGTGTATTTAAGAGTTGCCCCGATCCTGCACAAACCCCAGATCAAACACATCACATCCACAGTTACCTTGCCAAGCCACATCTGGAGGGCAGGTGCACTCCCGAGGGAGGCAACGCCAGCACCCCCTTGAGCCCAGCAAGATGTGAATTGAAGGAATTTTGATTTTGATTTAGATAGATTTAACTTGAGAGGAGGGAGACACGAAAGGTAGGACAGCGGGAAGAGAAGAGAATGCGAGAGGCAGGAACAAAAATGCAATGTTCGACATGGTGATTTATCCCCTCGGAGGCGACCTTTCGTAAATATATGTTCATATGCACTCTAAATGTTCAAACATATGCTCTCGAAATGTTCAAAAAGATTCTTAGGAAAACAAACTTGCCCCATGGCTCAGATCATCGGTGAGCATTGAATCGGAACATCATAGTGTCATAGGATTTGAACTATCCTAAAACCATAAGAGGCTCACGAAGACGCTCCCCAGGAGAGAATTGACGTGCTTCACAAAACAAACTCTAGGTATGTATCCCCTCGGGGAACACCTTTCGTGATTAGAATTTCATATTCACTCTTTCTGAATGTTCAAGAGGGTTTCAACTATCCTGAAATCATGAGAGGCTCACGAAGACGTTCTCCAGGAGAAAATTGATTTTAGAGGGGGGGAGGGCGGGGGGGGTCTGTATTGAAAAATCAATTCCAAGGGGGCGGGGGGGGG